ACAAAACAGAATATAACAACAAAATTCAAGAACTATTCAACGATGGCAGCTATACAAAAATAAAAAGAGATCCCACCAACAGCCTGGTTACCAAAACGAACAAAATCATCTCTGATTCAACAGCATTAACTGATGAGACCAAACAGTTCTCGTTAAAACCCTCTGCTGCCAGACCACCAAGATTATATGGCCTTCCAAAGATACACAAAGAAGATACACCCCTTCGTCCCATCGTCTCTACTATCAACTCCCCCACCTATAAACTGGCACGTTTTCTTGCTGATATACTGCGACCTTTCACTGGAAAAACACCTCTGCGGTACTAAATTCTACTCACCTGGTATCGACAATCAAAGGCATTTCCCTGTCCCCAGACGACCTGCTTGTCAGTTTTGATGTGGTGTCCTTGTTCACCAAAGTCCCGGTACCTGACACCATCGCTATCATTGAAGACCTGGTTCGTCAAGGACTGCATACTGATGTACCCCCCCTGGTGAGACATTGCTTAACCAACACATACTTCACCTGGAATGGAACTTGCTACAAACAAACTGAGGGCACCCCAATGGGCTCCCCCTATCTCCGGTTGTAGCCAACGTATTCATGGAAAAATTTGAAACTGACGCCATCCAGACTGTCACTCTACGCCCGACCTCATGTAAGAGGTACGTGGATGACACCTTTGTCATCTGGCCACATGGCCAGCCTGCTCTAGACCAATTCCGCGACCACATCAATTCCATACACCCAGCCATCAGATTTACCATGGAGGTCGAAAAAGATGGCAAACTACCCTTTTTGGATGTCTTAATTAAAAGGAGACATAATGGTTCAATGAGCCACTCTGTCTACAGGAAAGCTACCCATACAGATGCTTACTTGAAACCGGATTCCCACCACAATCCATCCCAGAAGAACTCCCTCATCAAGACTCTATACCATAGAGCCCAATGCATTTCCGACCAGGAACACATTACCAGTGAACTCAAGCACGTACACCAGGCTCTCAGGGCTAATGGTTACTCCGACTACACAATCCGCAAAGCCATCACTCCAGTCATGAAGAAGGATCCTCTTGTGGAGCCACTCAAAACCATCACCTTACCCTACATTGCAGGGGTCACTAAAAATATCTCCAAAATCCTGAATAAACACAAGATCCAGGTCCGATTCAACACAGTACATAAAATCTGTGATCTAGTTCCATCTGAAAAATATGCTGTTCCAGACATACAGTACCCGGGCGTTTACAAACTAAAGTGCCTCTGTGGTAGTAGCTACATTGGAGAAACCAAACAACATATCTCGGACCGCATCCGCGAACATAAAGCAGACTTGAAACACGGTAGAACGAACTCCTCTGCCGTGGCAGATCACTGTTATAATTCAGTGGGCTCACATGACATTGACTTCTCCAAGACGGAGGTTCTTTGCAAACCAACCGGCTACCATGAGAGATTCGTTCATGAGGCCATTCACATATACAAGCACAGAGACAATTTCAACCGAGAAGATGGATTCTGGCTTAGTAACCATTGGAAAGATGTTTTAAACCATTTCCGCTCTTAATTAATTGTATTTTACGATGACCTTCAGACCGCAGCTCTTTCGCTGGCATTGACTCTTAATACCTCTCACACCACGGTTAATGGTATGGTTTACAACATGGAGTATAACAGCGCCTCGCAGCTGTCTCTCTCCCCCTCCTCTGTTCCGACCATGGATGAACTCGTCCGTCTGAACGGGACCCGTAGCTATCCGTGTTGCTAAAGTTGAGGGTAAGAATCCACCCATTTTTTCGCATTATAGCATTGTGATATATAACGACTTAGTGTTGGTAGCTTAGCTGATTGGAGAATATAGAGTTTATTGATAACATTGAGGTAATTTATATTTTAGTTATTTATTGTTTTTTATTGGTTCACAATGTAGTATACATTATATATTGTAGTGTATACCCAGTTACTGTGAATAGCTCAGATGTGTAGGCCTTGACTTCAACATAGCCATTTCTGTGACCAGTCACAAGCTAATCACTCAGTTATTTCAATGCTAAATTCGATGCTAATTCCTTTGTCAAGGGGTGCCTCTGCGGATGTGTATGCTTTAACTTAGCTATTTCAATGCTAAATTCTATGCTAATTCCTTTGTCAAGGGGTGCCTCTGCGGATTTGTATGCTTTAACTTTAACATAGCCATTTCTGTGACCAGTCACAAGCTAATCACTCAGCCATTTCAATGCTAATTCCTTTGTCAAGGCGCTTTGTTTCTTCTCACACAGCTTAAAGGTCGCGATCTGTGTGTGGCTTTTTCACTCCAGCGCTGTCCTCCAGACAGTCTCGTCCCTTCACCTGATGAAGGCCGCTTGTGTTGTGGCTGAAACGTCGTGAGAATATTATTGTGTTATTTTATTTTATCAATTTATTATTTTATTCTCATTCTACGTGACTTTACCGAAAGAACCAAAGAAGAAGAATTCAGATTACTCATGTATTTCCAGTTGAACCTTGTAAAATGTTACAAGCAACCTTCAGACAATACTTTCAATCTGCATTACAATTAAGTTACTGGAAAGTGAAACTAAATAACGTCAAGCTCTTTGTCAATACACTGCTTAATTAAAGCCTCCTCATGGTGTCTGCGTTGGGGGGGTTATTTGACCATCCTTCATCATGCGCTTCAGTGCGGTTTAGTGAACGTGTGATGAGGGAGCATGAATGTACAGCATAATAAAGGCGTGTGGCATTCTTCCCTCTGCAGCCCACATTATAAATATGCAGCCGATGGCATCTGTTACACAGATTGTCCCCCATCCAAATCTCATCCAGGCGCAAGTCTAATTAGTTGAGATCTAACACCATCGCTATCATTGAAGACCTGGTTCATCAAGGACTGCATACTGATGTACCCCCCCTGGTGAGACATTGCTTAACCAACACATACTTCACCTGGAATGGAACTTTCTACAAACAAACTGAGGGCACCCCAATGGGCTCCCCCCTATCTCCGGTTGTAGCCAACGTATTCATGGAAAAATTTGAAACTGACGCCATCCAGACTGCCACTCTACGCCCGACCTTATGGAAGAGGTACGTTGATGACACCTTTGTCATCTGGCCACATGGCCAGCCTGCTCTAGACCAATTCCGCGACCACATCAATTCCATACACCCAGCCATCAGATTTACCATGGAGGTCGAAAAAGATGGCAAACTACCCTTTCTGGATGTCTTAATTAAAAGGAGACATGATGGTTCAATGAGCCACTCTGTCTACAGGAAAGCTACCCATACAGATGCTTACTTGAAACCGGATTCCCACCACCATCCATCCCAGAAGAACTGCCTCATCAAGACTCTATACCATAGAGCCCAATGCATTTCCGACCAGGAACACATTACCAGTGAACTCAAGCACGTACACCAGGCTCTCAGGGCTAATGGCTACTCCGACTACACAATCCGCAAAGCCATCACTCCAGTCATGAAGAAGGATCCTCTTGTGGAGCCACTCAAAACCATCACCTTACCCTACATTGCAGGAGTCACTAAAAAGATCTCCAAAATCCTGAATAAACACAAGATCCAGGTCCGATTCAACACAGTACACAAAATCCGTGATTTAGTTCCATCTGTAAAAGATGCTCTTCCAGACATACAGTACCTGGGCGTTTACAAACTAAAGTGCCTCTGTGGGGTAGCTACATTGGAGAAACCAAAAGACATATCTCGGACCGCATCCGCGAACATAAAGCAGACTTGAAACACGGTAAGACGAACTCCTCTGCCGTGGCAGATCACTGTTACAATTCAGTGGGCTCACATGACATTGACTTCTCCAAGACGGAGGTTCTTTGCAAACCAACTGGCTACCATGAGAGATTCGTTCATGAGGCCATTCACATATACAAGCACAGAGACAATTTCAACCGAGAAGATGGATTCAGGCTTAGTAACCACTGGAAAGATGTGTTAAATCATTTCTGTTCTTAATTAATTGTAATTTTACGATGACCTTCAGACCGCAGCTCTTTCGCCAGCATTGCCTCTTAATACCTCTCACACCACGGTTAATGGTATGGTTTACAACATGGAGTATACTAGGGCCTCGCAGCTGTCTCTCTCCCCCTCCTCTGTTCCGACCATGGACGAACTCGTCCGTCTGAACGGGGCCCGTAGCTATCCGTGGTACGGAAATTTGAGGGTAAGAATCCACCCATTTTTTCGCCATATAGCATTGTGATATATAACGACTTATGGTTGGTAGCTTAGCTGATTGGAGAATATAGAGTTTATTGATAACATGAAGGTAATTTATATTTTAGTTTTTATTGGTTCACTATATAGTACTGTGAATAGCTCAGATGTGTAGTCATTTCTGTGACCAGTCACCAGCAAATCACCCAGTTATTTGAATGCTAAATTCGCCTAGTTATTGCAATGCTAAATTCTCCTGTTTTGATTTGTACTAAGTGCCTCGGTGAATGTGTATGCTCTGACTTCAACGTAACTATTTCTGTAGCAGTTACAAGCGAATGCCTTAATTTAGCTATTTCAATGCTAAATTCTATGCTAATTCCTTTTAACAATGAGTGCCTCTGCGGATGTGTATGCTTTAACTTTTAACATAGCTATTTCTGTGACCAGTCACAAGCTAATCATTCAGCCTTTTCAATGCTAAATTTTATGCTAATTCCTTCGTCAAGGCTCTTTGTTCCTCTCACACAGCTTAAAAGCCGTGATCTGAACGTGGCTCTCTCACTCCAGCGCTGTCCTACCAGACAGTCTCGCTCCCTTCACCTGATGAAGGCCGCTTGTGTTGTGGCCGAAACGTCGTGAGAATATTATTGTGTTATTTTATTTTATAAATTTATTATTTTATTCTCATTCTACGTGACTTTACCGAAAGAACCAAAGAAGAGGAAAATTAAGTCACGTTATTTGCTTTGATCCTAAGCAGTATACTTCCTGTATATATATAATCTAACAAAATGAACACACCTGGCCCTCCTGACGGTGAGGGTTCTTGCTCCTTGCTGCCGGAGGTTGGAGGTGGGGGTGTCTTGTCCTTCGGTGCAGTTGGTTCTTGAGGCGGAGCGCCACTCTCTGCTGGAGCTGGCTTTGTTGGCTTTTCCTCTACCGGGGATTGCGGTGTTTTTTTTAAAGAAAAGCCAGGGATTGGGTGTTGACAGAATGTACATTGCATTGACTTGGGGACATGTAAGTGCAGCAAAATAAAGGAATGTGGTATCCTGCCCTCTGCAGCCTATAACATGCAATCTATAACGCATATTACGGATGTGGGCAACCATTCCTGACTTCCAGGACAACCCTATTTCATTTCAGAGATCTGAGAAATGTATGCGCATTCTGCTCTATTATGATCGTAAGAACTATATGGCCGGTATGAACATATATACATTAAAAAAAAACTTGCAAACGAAACACACCTGGCCCTTCTGAGGGTGAAGGTTCTGGCTCCTTGTTGCCGGAGGTTGGAGGTGGGGGTGTCTTGTCCTTTGGTGCAGTTGGTTCTTGAGGCGGAGCGCCACTCTCTTCTGGAGCTGGCTTTGTTGCCTTTTCCTCTACCGGGGATTTCGGTGTCACTTTGAATGAAAAATCCATGGATGGATGTTAAGGGAATGCAGATTTCTCAAGCATTCTGAGTTTAACCTCGTAAAATGTTGTAAGCAACCTACAGACAATACATTAATCTGAATTTCGAATAAGTTACTGGAAAGTGATACTAAATAATGTACAGCTCTTTGCCAAATACACTGTTAAAGTAAAGCCCCCCAACGGTGTTTGGGTTGGGGGGGTTGTGTGACCATCCTTCATCATGCTCTTCATGGCGGTTTAGTGAACGTGGGATGAGGGAGCATGGACGTACCGCACAATAAAGAGGTGTGGCATTCTGCCCTCTGTAGTCCACGTAATAAATATGCAGCTGATGGCATCTGTTACACAGGTTGTCCCCCATCCATATCTCATGCAGGCGCAAATCTAAATAGTTGAGATCTAACAAATTAAGTCACATTGTGTGATTTGATCCTAAGCAGTATACTTTCTGTATATATATAATCTTACAAAATTAACACACCTGGCCCTCCTGAGGGTGAGGGTTCTGGCTCCTTGCTGCCGGAGGTTGGAGGTGGGGGTGTTTTGTCCTTTGGTGCAGTTGGTTTTTGAGGCGGAGCGCCACTCTCTGCTGGAGCTGGCTTTGTTGGCTTTTCCTCTACAGGGGATTGCGGTGTTTTTTTTAAAGAAAAGCCAGGGATTGGGTGTTGACAGAATGTACATTGCATTGACTTGGGGACATGTAAGTGCAGCAAAATAAAGGAATGTGGTATCCTGTCCTCTGCAGCCTATAACATGCAATCTATAACGCATATTACGGATGTGGGCAACCATTCCTGACTTCCAGGACAACCATATTTCATTTCAGAGATCTGAGAAATGTATTCATAATAAATGTATGCGCATTCTGCTCTATTTTGATCGTAAGAACTATATGGCCGGTATGAACATATATACATAAAAAAAAACTTGCAAACGAAACACACCTGGCCCTTCTGAGGGTGAAGGTTCTGGCTCCTTGTTGCCGGAGGTTGGAGGTGGGGGTGTCTTGTCCTTTGGTGCAGTTGGTTCTTGAGGCGGAGCGCCACTCTCTTCTGGAGCTGGCTTTGTTGCCTTTTCCTCTACCGGGGATTTCGGTGTCACTTTGAATGAAAAATCCATGGATGGATGTTAAGGGAATGCAGATTTCTCAAGCATTCTGAGTTTAACCTTGTAAAATGTTGTAAATAACCTACAGACAATACATTAATCTGAATTTCGAATAAGTTACTGGAAAGTGATACTAAATAATGTACAGCTCTTTGCCAAATACACTGCTATATTAAAGCCCCCCAACGGTGTCTGGGTTGGCGGGGTTGTGTGACCATCCTTCATCATGCTCTTCATGGCGGTTTAGTGAACGTGTAATGAGGGAGCATGGATGTACAGCACAATAAAGAGGTGTGGCATTCTGCCCTCTGTAGTCTACATTATAAATAACAGCCGATGGCATCTGTTACACAGATTGTCCCCCATCCAAATCTTATCCAGGCGCAAGTCTAAATAGTTGAGATCTAACAAATTAAGTAACATTGTGTGATTTGATCCTAAGCAGTATACTTCCTGTATATATACGATCTTACAAAATTAACACACCTGGTCCTCCTGAGGGTGAGGGTTCTGGCTCCTTGTTGCCAGAGGTTGGAGGTGGGGGTGTCTTGTCCTTCGGTGCAGTTGGTTCTTGAGGAGGAGCGCCACTCTCTTCAGGAGCTGGCTTTGTTGGCTTTTCCTCTCCCGGGGGTTTCCGTGTCACTTTGAATGAAAAATCCAGGGATGGATGTTGACAGAATGCAGATTACTCATGCATTTCCAGTTGAACCTTGCAAAATGTTATAAGCAACCTTCAGACAATACTTTCAATCTGCATTACAAATAAGTTACTAGAAAGTGATACTAAATAACATCAAGCTCTTTGTCAATACACTGCTTAATTAAAGCCTCCCCATGGTGTCTGCGTTGGGGGGGTTATTTGACCATCCTTCATCATGCGCTTCAGTGCGGTTTAGTGAACGTGTGATGAGGGAGCATGAACGTACAGCACAATAAAGAGGTGTGGCATTCTGCCCTCTGTAGTCCACATTATAAATATGCAGCCGATGGCATCTGTTACACAGATTGTCCCCCATCCAAATCTCATCCAGGCACAAGTCTAATTAGTTGAGATCTAACAAATTAAGTCACCTTATTTGCTTTGATCCTAAGCATTATACTTCTTGTATATATATAATTTAACAAAATGAACACACCTGGCCCTCCTGAGGGTGAGGGTTCTGGCTCCTTGTTGCCGGAGGTTGGAGGTGGGGGTGTGTGGTGCCGCCGCAGCGGAGCTGGTCCAGTGGAACCACGCCCACCACCGCGACGCCGTCACCGATGCCTCGGATTTCCCGACACTCTCCCGGGGCCGGTGCCTTCTCAGACGTCCGCGTTTTGCCCACTGCACAGTCGTGAGGCCGCTACAGCAGGGCCGCTCTGCCGAGGTCGTGCCCACCGCCGCAAAGCCGCCACCGGGGAATGCCGACCCCGACGCGGTGCACCCTCACCACCCCCCCCTCCCCCCGACACGAACGTACACACGCCCCATGTAGAGCCGGGAGGGGAGGTCACCCGGCTGATAGGTTTTTGTCCAGAAGTCCCTAGTGGGATCGAACTTCATGGTTTCCTGCGGCCGGGAAATTGGCCGATCTTCCCCCTGTAGCTGAGATGCACTGCGGCGCCACGACCTAATATTAAAGTTGCATGGTCACGGCAAGGGCCATCGAGCCACCGCGAGTGGAACCACACACGCACAAGCACGGGTCAGTGGACTGGTAGCGGGAGAACAGAGAGCGGACGTCGGTGAGATCACTGCGGCAACGTCACCCGAGCTGGGATCCAGGTATCGATAGGGCGGGAGAATCCGAGCCCCTGATTGGACGGGAGGCCAAGGGACTGAAAGAGCGAAATTCCTTTGTTGTAGGTAGGATAAAGGGAGGGGGATTGGGGTAGCAAGTCAGTTCTTTTTCTTCAAGATCATCGCGGTCCTGGGAGCAGCAGAGTCAGCCATCCGAGACGTCCGTGAGACGTACTCCAGCACCGACAGGCTCGCCGCCTCATCCCCTTACAGCGGTCAGTACATCAGGTGGAAGTAAGTACGAGTGAGAGAGGCGTAAGTTTAAGCGTTTTAAATCCAGGATAGAGAGCGGGGCGATCAGTAGGAGAAATTGAATCGAAGACCTCCGAGGGATAGATTAGCGTCCACTGACCCATACCATCACACGTAGATAAAATTGGTTACTCGAGGTAAATAAAATTCGCTAGTGGGGGGATAAAACTGCGTTGCGTGGTCTTTTGGGAGTGTGAAGTGGAGGGCAGAGTGCGCTGGGTGTCTACGTGTATGCGCGGCTGTGCACCTCGAGACGAAGCGTGTGGTGTTTACGTGCCCGCACGATTGTTTACAGTAACGCGTAGCGCTCGCATACCGGTTTGACGGCGTCGCGATCGCGCACCCGTGCAATTGTGTGCAGTACTGCGCAGCGCGTACGGGCATACGTGGCGACTTTCGGTGGTGCCCAGTGCTCGCGTACCCGTGATATCACTCACAATAGTTACACACCCGCACAAGTGTCTAATCGCGAAGTAGCAAGTTAAAGCGCCGAGCGTGCGCGTATTCGCGCGACTGTTTGAGCGGGACCTTTAACTCAGAGCCGAGCGGGCGCCCCCAATCAGCGGCGCGCGCACGGCAGAAACCCCGCCCGTCCATCCCTCGGCTCCAATCCCCTCGCGTGCGATTGGTGTACGGGGCTGGGCAGAGGGTAGGGGCGTGTTTGTTACTGTCGGAACACGTGGAGCGCAGGTGGGAGGAAACACGCGCCGCGCCTGTTTGTTTACGGGCGGGACGGAGATTTTACTGGCGAGCGCGCTTACAGCGGCACACCGCCTCTGAATGGCAAAGCGCACCGCGGGCGTAAACACACACCACTGCGTCAATTGAATCATGGTGACGCGGGCAGCCACCAAGGCGGGGGTGCAGGGGGGCGGGGAATTGGGGGTCGGTGGCCCGGACCCCACAGAGCAGCCGGGGGGTAGTGGGACGAGTATCACAGGGGAGTCGGTGGGCATCGGCCCCGACAATTCAGTGATGGCGGGGGACGGTAGCCCCCACAGTTTGGCGTCAGAAGCGGTACGAACCCCCACGTTACCCCATGCGAAAATAAGGCATATATTCACCGGCCAGGGTACCCCTTCGTGGAAAGCGTTTGCCTGCAATGTCCTAGGTGCTAAGGAAATTAATGGGTGGATGGACGCGCAGACGTTACGTCAACTTATTATGAATCTGGATGGGCGGGCAGCCGATTTTGTGGAAGCCCTACCCACAAGCGCGCAAACCCAGCTAGCAGAGCTAATGTGCCAACTTGACTCACGGTTCGGCGTGAGTAATGAAGAGGCGAAAGCAGCCTTAGAGGCACGCCGTCGCCAACCCGGCGAGGACCTGCGCGATTATGCCGAGGATGTGCGTGAGCTAACAAAGATCGCACGCCCGGGGTACACGACGGAAGTGATTGAGGAGCTGGCCGCAGAGAAAATCCAGCGTAACTTAACTCGCACGGCGTGGTGGCAGCCAGACATGAACTGTACGCGCCTCCCCTTTAACGCCCTTGTCGAGCGCGCGCGCAAATGTGAAAGAATTTCTAGTGAGCGCACGCAGCTTCGAGGACTAGGACGAGGGCGCGCCATCGCGAGCCTGGGCCCAGGGGAGGAGGAAGAGGAGGAGGGCCTCGCCCGCACGGTAAGGGGTCGAGCAAGAGAGTCTCCGGGGTCCCGCGAGACAACCCCGAGCTGGGTAGCGGGGATACAGACGGGCATAAAGGATGTAGCTGGCCAGGTGACTCATGTACGCGAGGAAGCGAATAAAAATATGGAAACCATCCAGTCCGAGATGGGGGAGCTAGGCTCCACAGTAGAGGGGCTGGCCGGGCGGGTGTCCCAGTTAGAATCCGACCTTGGGCACCTGCGTACGGGAAGGGGGAGAAGGGATGGGCAGGGGACCCCCTATGGGACCACCCCCCGGGCATGCTACCTGTGCGACCAGCGAGGGCATCTCGTGAGGGACTGTCCCCAGATCGCCCGTGCTAAAAAAGCACCAGGGTTAAAACGCCAACGCCCCCTAGAGAGTGGACCACCTAGGGGTGCAATCAATGAAGTCCCGAAACAAAACGGCGATAATAATAATGGTGAGCGAGTGACCCCCACACAGGTTCCAACCACAACACCCAAGGACGCGGTGAGGACGGGCGACTGGCTGCGGGAGCTGGTAGCAGGAATCACGGGGGCCACGTCGCTGGTGAAAGGACAGGTGAATGGGCAGCGCACCCGGATCCTACTGGACACGGGGGCCGTAGCCTCACTCGTGAGCGCCGCACACTGCAGCGTGCTCGGGGTTGACGTGAGCCGCCTGCAGGCCCCGGATCGCGCGCTGCACACAGCGAGCGGAGCCGGGATGGGGTTGCTGGGAAGGATCTCCCTCGAGGTCCGTCTCTGAATCAGGTGTGCACCCAGGAATTCTACGTCTCGAGTATGTTGCGCCACGAGTGTATTGCAGGTACGGACCTCCTGGAAAAGCTGGGGCTCAACGTGCAGCCCCGCCAGTGATGCGCCACCGTGGAGGGCAGCGGGGAGCGGATCCCGTTCCTGGGACCCGAGCCGAATCGCCCTCGCTTCACACCCGTGGCCGCTACGCTGGTGTCGGCCGTCAACATCGGGCCGCTCACCAAGATGCTGGTGCCAGTGGCAACCCCCTCCGCCGACCCCACACACCGACCATCGGGCGAGGTAATGCTAACTCCTCACCCGGAATTTGCAGCGCGGTACGGAGTCGTAGGGTCAGCCACGCTGGTAAACGCAGATGGGGCCGACTGTTCATGCGGGTGTTTAACCCACACAGTACCCCGGCGATGCTACGACGACGCATCACAGTAGCCACCATACACCCCCTGCACGCGCCACTCTAACGACTCGGTGTTTGCACTCTGAGCGGAAGACCCTGGCCACTCCGAGGACAACCAGGATCTGGCCTGGCGGGTCGGCCCAACCCCCCGGGCCGAGATCGCTCCCCTGCATGATGCGTTACATGTGCCTTGGGCAGATTTACCTAAGGTGGAGGCCGATCAGCTGCGCGGGTTGTTACGGGAGTACGCCGACGTGTTCAGTGAGCACGATTCAGATGAAGGCCGAACAGACCTTGTTAAGCACCAAATTGACACAGGTGCAGCCCGACCGATCAAACTCCCCGCATACCGGGTGGGCGCGCCCGAACAAACCCAGATCAAGGAGGCAGTCGCGGACATGCTACGTGATAACATAATTCAGCCCTCGACAAGCCCCTGGTCTGCCCCAGTGGTGCTAGTGACGAAAAAGGATGGATCGACCCGATTCTGCGTTGATTACCGAAAATTTAATGCAGTCACCCTCGGCGACGCCTTCCCCATACCGCGCATCGATGACACATTTGACAGCCTCGCAGGAGCACGGTATTTTTCCACCCTCAATCTGGCGTCCAGGTACTGGCAGGTGGAGATGGCGGAGGAGGATCGGCCGAAAACCGCGTTTACCACCCCGATGGGGCTGTTCGAGTTTCGAGTGCTTCCGTTCGGACTCACTAACGCGCCCGCGACGTTCCAGCGGTTGATGGAGTTGGTAATGCGGGGCTTACAGTGGGAACAGTGCCTGATTTACCTGTATGACGTGATAGTGTTCAGCAGATCTCTGTCCGAGCACTGGTCCAGGTTGCGAGAGGTATTCCAGCGACTACGAGCAGCCCATCTCAGGCTCAAGCCGCGTAAGTGCTACATTGTGCAGCGCGGGGTAGGGTACCTCGGACACCGAGTCAGCGAGGCGGGGGTGCGCACCGATCCGGAAAAGGTACGCGCCGTAGTGGAATTGCCACGGCCCAGGAATCTGACGGAGATCAGGTCATTCTTGGGACTCGCCACCTATTATCGTCGATTTGTTAAGGGATTTAGTGAGATTGCACGCCCCCTCACCCAACTCACCTCCCCTAAGAACCCCTATTGATGGACGGAGGCCTGCCAAACGGCCTTCACCACCCTCAAAGACCACCTCACCCACATCCCTACCCTCGCTTGCCCCGATTTCACCACGGATTTTATCTTGGACACCGACGCCTGCAGCAGTGCGCTGGGCGCGGTGCTGTCACAAGTACAGGGTGGGACGGAGCGGGTCATCGCCTACGCCAGTCGGACCCTGAGTGGGCCCGAGCTGAATTATTGTGTGACCCGTCAAGAACTGTATGCCATGGTCTTCGCGTGTAAACAGTTCCGACCGTATTTGTACGGCAGGAAATGTCGGGTGCGCACTGACCATTATGCCCTGCAGTTCCTCCTTACATTCAAGGAACCATGGGGGCAGATGGCCCGGTGGCTGGCGCAGCTGCAGGAGTACAACCTGCAAATAGAGTACCGAGCTGGGCGTACGCACGCAAACGCGGACGCCTTGTCGAGGCGGCCCGCGGTGGGCACCGAGACAAGGGCAGAGGAAGCTTGCCCGTGCTGCACGGGGGGCCGTTGCCGGCAGGAGGTGGACCCCCAGGAGCGCACCGAGACTAACCTTCCCCCGGTGAGAGGCAGTGCAGTATGTGCCACAGAGACCCCGGTAGGAGGAACCAGGGACCCGGGGGACCACTCGGCAGACACGGAGCCCACACCCCGGGGCCCGATGGGTCGCTCAACCCCACCCGATCGGATCCAGGAGGACGTCGGCTGCGCCTTCCTGAGCCTGGACGACGAGCAGCTGAGGCGAATCCAGCTGCGGGATCCAGATCTGGCGGCGGTGGAGGCGGCCCTACGGGAGAAAGAGGACACCCTACCAGGGCCCTGGAGTGGTTTGGATGCCGAATTGTGCGTCCAGAACGGGGTGGTACGGGAGCTAACCGAAGCCGGCCAGCCAGGGTGCATCTGCGTTCCCGCCCAGGTGTGACCCCAGCTGCTGAGACTAGTGCACGACCACCCACTCGGGGGCCATGACGGAGAACGGCGCACTCGTGAAACCCTGCGCCGCCAGTATCTCTGGCCCAAGTTGGCACAAGACGTGGCCGCCTGGGTGCAGGGCTGCCGCGCGTGTCAGCAATGCGGGCCGAAACCGGCGCAATACCAGGTACCCCTGAGGCCGTTCCGCGTCAGCCGGACGAACCAGTTGGTCGGGATCGACCTGCAGGGGCCATTCCCGCGATCCCATCGGGGCAACCGATAAATTCTCGTAGCGGTGGAGTACTTCACACGCTATCCCGTAGCGGTAGCCATCCCCGATAAGACAGCCCTCGTAGTGGCCCGAGCGTTCGTGGAACACTACGTACTTAAGCACGGGATCCCCGAACGGGTCATTACTGACCAGGGTAGTGAGTTCGAGGCAGAACTATTCCAGGCACTGTGCCGGAAGTTCGGGATCCAGAAGGACCGAACTACGGCATATCACCCCCAGGCAAATGGGATGGTAGAGAGAATGAACCAGACCATAGCCGGGAAGCTTAAATGCATGGCGGCCGCGAATCAACGGGACTGGGACGAACACCTCCCCTATGCTTTGTTCGCCTATGCCACCACAGTACATACATCCACGGGACAGACCCCGTTCCTAATGATGTTTGGTCGCGAGTCTCGCCTGCCTACAGATCTGCTGTTCGGTGTCCCTCCACCGCAATGGGAGGAAGGGAGCTGCCCCGTGGAGCACTTGATGGGGACCCTGCGAGAAGCTAGGGTTCATGCTTACCCGCAAGGCGAGACCGCACACCGGCGGCAGGAGCGGGGCGCCCGACCCCGGATGGAGCCCTCCTTCTACTCGGCGGGCTCTAAGGTGTGGCTGCACACCCCTCGCGTCGGGGCCGGGCAGGTGGGGAAGTTAACCACCTACTGGCGGGGGCCCTGGACGGTGGGGCGACAGATCTCCCCCTGGACAGTACTGATTCAGGGGAAAGAGAGAGGCTGGGAGATGGTAGTTAATGTTCGGCGACTAAAACCATGGAGGGCGGCCCCAGCGAGGGAGAACTCCGCCGTTCAAAGACCCCGAAACCCCGGGGGTCCCCACACCCCCGACACCCGGGGGCCTCGCAGAGTATATGGGCCCCAGGGGGTCCCGGCCCAAGCCAGGAGAGACGAGGACGGCGCCCCCTGAACCCTACCGCCCCCGAGTTTGTCTCCCAGCCCGCAGGTACCCAGGGCCGGAGGGAACCATTGGAGTGGAGAAGGAGACCGCCGCCGGAACCCCGAGAGACAGAGCCACCACCGCTGAGACCAGCCACGAGAGCCGGGCGAGTCCCGCGGACCCCGCGGCGCTACCTCGTAGGGGCAACCCAGGCGAGGTGCTCCAGTCAACCCGGGACGGGGACTGGCACCTCGGGGGCTGTGTAGTGCCGCCGCAGCGGAGCCGCTCCAGCGGAACCGCGCCCACCACCGCGACGCCGTCACCGATGCCTCGGATTTCCCGCCACTCTCCCGGAGCCGGTGCCCTCTCAGACGTCCGGGTGTTGGCCACTGCACAGTTATGAGGCCGCTGCAGCAGGGCCGCTCTGCCGAGGTCGTGCCCACCGCCGCAAAGCCGCCACCGGGGGATGCCGACGCCGACGCGGTGCACCGTCACCACCCCCCCCCTCCCCCCACATGAACGTACACACGCCCCACGTAGAGCCGGGAGGGGAGGTCACCCGGCCGATAGGTTTTGTCCAGAAGTCCCTAGTGGGATCGAACTTCATGGTTTCCTGCAGCCGTGAAATTGGGCGATCTTCCCCCTGTAGCTGACATGCACTGCGGCGCCGCGACCTAATATTAAAGTTGCATGGTCACGGCAAGGGCCATTGAGCCACCGCGAGTGGAGCCACACACGCACAAGCACGGGTCAGTGGACTGGTAGTGGGAGAACAGAGAGCGGACTTCAGTGAGATCACTGCGGTGACGTCACATGAGCTGGGATCCGGGCATTGATAGAGCGGGAGAATCTGAGCCCCTGATTGGACGGGAGGCCAAGGGACTGAAAGATCAAAATTCCTTTGTTGTAGGTAGGATAAAGGGAGGGGGATTGGGGTAGCAAGTCAGTTCTTCTTCTTCAAGATCATCGCGGTCTCGGGAGCAGCAGAGTCAGCCATCCGAGACGTCCGTGAGACGTACTCCAGCACCGACAGGCTCGCCGCCTCATCCCCTTATAGCGGTCAGTACATCAGGTGGAAGTAAGTACGAGTGAGAGAGGCGTAAGTTTAAGCGTTTTAAATCCAGGATAGAGAGCGGGGCAATCGGTAGGAGAAATTGAATCGAAGACCTCCGAGGGATAGATTAGCGTCCACTGACCCATACCATCACACGTAGATAAAATTGGTTACTCGAGGTAAATAAAATTCGCTAGTGGGGGATAAAACTGTGTTGCGTGGTCTTTTGGGAGTGTGAAGTGGAGGGCAGAGTGCGCTGGGTGTCTAGGTGTATGCGCGGCTGTGCACCTCGAGACGAAGCGTGTGGTGTTTACATGCCCGCACGATTGCTCACAATATTGCTTAGCGATCGTGTACCTGGGTGGCTGTGTCACGGTCACGCACCCGCACAAGTGTCTAATCGCGAAGCAGCGAGTTAAAGCGCCGAGCGCGCGCGTATTTGCGCGACTGTTTGAGCGGGACCTTTAACTCAGAGCTAAGCGAGCGTCCCCAATCAGCGGCGCGCGCCTGGCAGAAACCCCGCCTGCCCATCCCTCGGCTCCAACCCCCTCACGTGCGATTGGTGTACGGGGCTGGGCAGAGGGTAGGGGCGTGTTTGTTATTGTCGGCACACGTGGAGCGCGGGTGGGAGGGAAACACGCGCCGCGCCAGTTGTTTACGAGCGGGACGGAGGTTTTACTGGCGAGCGCGCTTACAGCCCCACACCACTGTTGAACAGTGTAGAGCATCGCAAGCGCAAAGCGTACGAGCCGCTAATTAAGCTATGCAAACGCGGTCGACATCCCAGGCAGAGGTACAGGGGGGCGAGACATTAGGGGTCGGTAGTCTGGACCTGACAGAGCAGCCGGGGGGTAGCGGTATGAGTGGAACGGGGGAGTCGGTGGGCAACGGCCCCGACAATTCAGTGATGGCGGGGGACGGTAGCCCCGACAAATGCTCCATTGCTATGAGCGTAATACAAACTTTGAATATCATTTTGCACAGGAAGTATACAATTAGTCTCTTCATCCTGAGTTAACCGTACGTAAACCTTTAGAATGTTGTGGACGCTCAAAGCTAAAGAACAGTGAGCTGCCAACTCCTTCTGTTAGCATGACCCACTTTTACGTAGATACGCTGCCTTAATCTGCAGCACTGCCCACGTAGTTGGTAGTTTCACGCGGTAACAAGCTGACCTACTGCTCGGTAAGTTACTCCTATTCCGCTACGAACACAGCCTAGAGTTCATTAGTCTCACCCTGTTCCAGTAAAATGAGCCAAGTATGGGACCAGAAGACTATAAAGCAGGACAAAATCACACTTTTACAATGCTTCAGGACCCTACGATAGACTTTTGTAACCGGCAATGTCCCGACCATACCGGAGCATATGGTGGCTTGAATTGAACATATGATTGCATTTAATATATTATCCATATTTGATTTTGCAACTAATTCCAATATGGTACCTGGGCCTGGAGTTGGGGGTGATGGTTCTGTCTCCTTGTTGCTGGAGGTTGGAGGTGGGGGTGTCTTGTCCTTCGCTCCAGTTGGTTCTTGAGGAGGAGCGCCACTCTCTTCAGGAGCTGGCTTTGTTGGCTTTTCCTCAACCGGGGGTTTGGGTGTCACTTGGAAAGAAAAGCAAGGGATGGATGTTGACAGAATTTAGATTGCTCATGAATTTTCAGTTGAAACTTGTAAAATGTTGTAAGCAACCTTCAGTCGATATTTTCAATTTGCATTACGAATAATTTACTTGAAAGTTATACTAAATAATGTATAGCTGATTGCCAATACACTGCTCAATTAAATCCTCCCCACGGTGTCTGCATTGGGGAGTTATTTTACCATCCTTCATCATGCTGTTCAGTGGGGTTTATTGAACGTCCGATGAGGGAGCATGGAAGTACATCACAATTAAGAGGTGTGGCATTCTGCTCTGTAAAGTCCATATTATATATATATTCAGCCTATGACATCTGTTACACAGATTGTCACCTATCCAATACCTATCCATAAGCAAGTCTTAATTAGTTTCTGAGATCTAACAAATTAAGTCCCGTTGTTCGATTTGATCATAAGCGGTATACTTCCTGTATATATAATCTGATAAAATGAACACACCTGGCCCTTCTGGGAGTGATGGTTCTGGCTCCTTGTTGCCAGAGGTTGGAGGTGGGGGTGTCTTGTCCTTCGGTGCAGTTGGTTCTTGAGGAGGAGCGCCACTCTCTTCAGGAGCTGGCTTTGTTGGCTTTTCCTCAACCGGGGGTTTCGGTGTCACTTTGAAAGAAAAGCAAGGGATTGGTGTTGACAGAAGGTATTTTGCATTGACTTGGGAGCATGTATTTACAGCAAAATAAAGGAATGTGTTATCCTGCCCTCTGCAGCCTATAACATGCAGACTATGACACATGTTATGGATGTGGTCACATTTTCCTGTCAACCAGGGCAACCTTATTTCGTTTCTGAGATCTGAGAATGTATGCACATTCTGCGCTATTTGATCGTAAGTATTATATGGCCGGTATGAACTTAAAAATATGTTTTAAAACTTGCAAACGTAACACACCTGGCCCTTCAGGGGGTGTCGGTTCTGGCTCCTTGTTGCCGGAGGTTGGAGGTGGGGGTGTCTTGTCCGTCGGTCCAGTTGGTTCTTGAGGAGGAGCGCCACTCTCTTCTGGAGCTGGCTTTGTTGGATTTTCTTCAACCGGGGGTTTCGGTGTCACTTTGAAAGAAAAGGCAAGGAATGGATGTTGACAGAATTCAGATTACTCATGCATTTTCAGTTGAACCTTGTAAAATGTTGTAAGCAACCTTCAGGCAATACTTTCAATTTGCATTACGAATAATTTACTTGAAAGTTATACAAAATCGTGTTTAACTGTTTACCAATACACTGCTCAATTAAATCATCCCCACGGTGTCTGCGTTGGGGGGGTTATTTGACGATGCTTCATCATGCTCTTCAGTGCGGGTTAGTGAACGTGGGATGGGGAGCATGGAAGTACATCACAATAAAGAGGTGTGGCATTCTGCTCTGTGCAGTCCATATTGTAAATATTCAGCCTATGACATCTGTTACACAGATTGTCGCCTATCCAACACCTATCCATAAGCAAGTCGTAATTAGTTCTGAGATCTAACAAATTAAGTCACGTTGTTTGATTTGATCCTAAGCAGTATACTTCCTGTATATATATAAAATCTTACAAAAGGAACACACTTGGCCCTTCTGGGGGTGATTGTTGCTGGAGGTTGGAGGTGCGGGTGTCTTGTCCTTCGATGCTGTTGGTTTTGGAAGAGGAGCGCAAACCTTACTAATTGGCTGTGTCGGGTGGTAGCAGAGTTAAAAACTAATTTATAGTTATGCGATCTAACCCAGAAAACATCATGGATATGATGATATAAATATTTTAACCATGTGCTTTGCAACTAATTTTACTAATGTACCTGGGCTTCGTGAAGATGGACTTGGTGCAGGAGGTCCACCTGCTCTGGAGCAGCAGAATCTGACCTTGTAGTTGTAACATGGCAGTCCTCCTTGATCCTCATTTACACATTTCAGTCCTCTATTCTTGTCACAAGTTATTGTCTGGCCCAATTCCTGCCATGGGGTATTGGGGAATCTCTCTGCTTTGCAATCAATGTTTTGCACTGGTGAGTCATGCAGACAAACCACTTTCCCTGAGGTTATGACCTTCTGGTAAGATTCCTCATCTCCGCCATTTTCTTCATCAGGATATTGCTCATCGTACCAATCAGACCAGCCTGGAGTACAGTCTTCTGCAAAGATAAATTTTAAATCAGTCTTCAGACGATTACTATATATATCAACTCCTTTTTCTCTTCGGTAATGTTCTGAAAGCTAACATTTTAATCAAAACTATGAATGCTCCATTGCTATGAGCGTAATACAAACTTTGTATATCATTTTGCACAGGAAGCATACAATGAGTCTCTTCATCCTGAGTTAACCGTACGTAAACCTTTAGAATGTTGTGGACGCTCAAAGCTAAAGAACAGTGAGCTGCCAACTCCTTCTGTTAGCATGACCCACTTTTACGTAGATACGCTGCCTTAATCTGCAGCACTGCCCACATAGTTGGTAGTTTCACGCGGTAACAAGCTGACCTACTGCTCGGTAAGTTACTCCTATTCCGCTACGAACACAGCCTAGAGTTCATTAGTCCCACCCTGTTCCAGTAAAATGAGCCAAGTATGGGACCAGAAGACTATAAAGCAGGACGAAATCACACTTTTACAATGCTTCAGGACCCTACGATAGACTTTTGTGACCGGCAATGTCCTGACCCTACCGGAGCATATGGTGGCTTGAATTGAATATATGATTGCATTTAATATATTATCCATATTTGATGTTGCAACTAATTCCAATATGGTACCTGGGCCTGGAGTTGGGGGTGATGGTTCTGGCTCCTTGTTGCTGGAGGTTGGAGGTGGGGGTGTCTTGTCCTTCGCTCCAATTGGTTCTTGACGAGGAGCGCCACTCTCTTCAGGAGCTGGCTTTGTTGGCTTTTCCTCAACCGGGGGTTTGGGTGTCACTTGGAAAGAAAAGCAAGGGATGGATGTTGACAGAATTTAGATTGCTCATGAATTTTAAGTTGAACCTTGTAAAATGTTGTAAGCAACCTTCAGTCGATATTTTCAATTTGCATTACGAATAATTTACTTGAAAGTTATACAAAATCGTGTATAACAGTTTGCCATTACACTGCTCAATTAAATCATCCCCACGGTGTCTGCGTTGGGGGGGGGGTTATTTGACGATGCTTCATCATGCTCTTCAGTGCGGGTTAGTGAACGTGGGGTGGGGAGCATGGAAGTACATCACAATAAAGAGGTGTGGCATTCTGCTCTGTGCAGTCCATATTGTAAATATTCAGCCTATGACATCTGTTACACAGATTGTCACCTATCCAATACCTATCCATAAGCAAGTCGTAATTAGTTCTGAGATCTAACAAATTAAGTCACGTTGTTTGATTTGATCCTAAGCAGTATACTTCCGGTATATATAATCTTACAAAAGGAACACACCTGGCCCTTTTGGGGTGATTGTTGCTGGAGGTTGAAGGTGCGGGTGTCTTGTCCTTCGATGCAGTTGGTTCTGGAAGAGGAGCGCAAACCTTACTAATTGGCTGTGTCGGGTGGTAGCAGAGTTAAAAACTAATTTATAGTTACGCGATCTAACCCAGAAAACATCATGGATATGATGATATCAATATATTAACCATGTGCTTTGCAACTAATTTTACTAATGTACCTGGGCTTTGTGAAGATGGACTTGGTGCAGGAGGTTCACCTGCTCTGGAGCAGCAGAATCTGACCTTGTAGTTGTAACATGGCAGTCCTCCTTGATCCTCATTTACACATTTCAGTCCTCTATTCTTGTCACAAGTTATTGTCTGGCCCAATTCCTGCCATGGGGTATTGGGGAATCATCATCACTGAATATTACATCTCTCAAAATAATGTTTGTTAGGACAGGTAAGTAGTTTTGAGTTTCTATTGATTGCATTGAAGTGGACCCATCCAAATTTTGGGTTTACAAATGGAAATGGATGACTGCATCATTTGACCAAATAGCTGCCTTTTTACAACGTTTGACTTTTGTTTAAAACGCTCTAAACATTGAATCATCGGGGCGAGTGGAATGGTGAACAATAACTTCAAAAAATTAGTATCTGGAGCACTGTGTTAACATCAGCAATTGGGAAATTAGCCAGGTGTAGTGTGGTATTAAATACGTGTATACCTGTAGCATGATGTTTATCTATATAGCTTGCATACACGGGCAATGTATATTACTTGATTTTGTTTACTTTTCAAACGTCCATTATTTAAACGTGGATGATAACCTATCATGTGACGTCACAAAACGTGTTCAATGTAATTTTAAATATTTTTGATCTCACGTGTTTCGAATATATTCATAAGTCAAATATTAGAAAAAGTGCCCAAACATGATTATTATTTCCCAAAGTATCAGTTTTCATTGTTGAGTGAAAGCTGTCTTTGAATCCAATAAAGATACAATTCTTCTGATTGGTAGAATGTTTACAAGGTGAAGGTCGGTAATGTTACTGACGTGATTTATTTTAACTAGTAGATCATTGATGTTCATGTTACCATTGTCATAGTTACCTTCACCGATAGTGGTCTCTTTAGGCACTGGTGGGGACTTTGGCTTCCTTTTCGTTGTTTCCGGAGCAGCTGCTGTTGGTGGTTTCTCAGGGCCCCTTTGGTTGGGGCCTGAGTAATGGGTGGTGGAGGGGGGCCACCTGATTTGGAGCAGCAGAATCTGACCTTGTAGTTGTAACATGGCAGTCCTCCTTGATCCTCATTGACACATTTCAGTCCTTTATTCTTGTCACAAGTGATTGTCTGGCCCAATTCCTGCCATGGGGTATTAGGGCATCTCTCTGCTTTGCATGCAATGTTTTGCACTGGTGAGTCAGGTAGACAAACCACTTTCCCTGAGAAGGTCATAGCCTGACTCACCAGAGTGGGAAAGGGAGTAGGAAAATGATCCCGGTGCCAACAGCTGCCCAAGCCCTACGGACCTCGATGTGTTAATGTTTTTCAGCTAATTATTAAGTGCTTATACACATATACACAAAGACAACCCATGTGCCCGAGAGGGCAACAACAACAACACCACTACCCCATGCAGATCGAAACAGATGGCTATTAATCCACGTGCTCCACTGCCAACTCCTGGCGAGCCAGGGTGTGGATCCTCCTCAACGCCGCACGCTGGGGGAAGGGATATTCGCAACATCTGTGCGGTGATCCGCCGAACCCTCGCTGCTGCCTCCACGGAGCTTGATCGCACCGCGGGGGAGGCAGCCACGTCCAGCAGCAGCATAGCAACCACCGTCCATTTCTATCTCCTGCACATTGCACCACCTTGGCTTTGGCCCTGACCGTGTACTTGGAGTCGACCTGTGACGAAGATGCTTGTGCGCTGTTCCCACGTGACCATGACGCCACCACCACCTCCAGCACCATCACCACCAACCACCACCAAAATCACCACCACCACCGCGAAGCTGACCTTGTACTTGGAGTCGACCTTGACGAAGATGCTCGTGCGCCGGTCCCACATGACCATGATGCCGATGCCGGTCTGCACGATGCGGTAGAGCCCCACCAAGTGGATGGTCAGGTCATCCACCATCGCCGGGATCTTTCCGGCCACGGGCACCACCATCACCTCCCCGGCCACCATGTGAACCTCCACGTTGTAATCCTGTAGTGGACGAGGAAGGGAGAGAGGGAGGGAGAAGACGGAGGGAGGTGAGGGGGGGGGGGGTTACAGAGGGAGGTGAGGGGAGGGAAAGTTTGAAGGAGGGAGGGAGACGACAGAAAGACCCCAGTGGCCAAGCACATTCGCAATGGATCCTGATGCCAGGGAATAAACTAGACTGGTGATGGGGGTGAGGGAACCTGTCGTCTAAACTTCCTGGACCTCTCCTGGCCCGTGGACACCGCAAACTTTTGCACTCCCTCGTTTGCACACTCAATTGCTATGCCAAGAACAAAGAGCCAGCGTAGACTTACTCTTTGGATCTATTCGGTAAAGTCACGTAGGTAAAAAATAAAACAACAAAAATCACAACGTTTCGCCACAACACAAGCGGCCTTGTGTTGTGGCCGAAACGTCGTGATTTTTGTTGTTTTATTTTTTACCTACGTGACTTTACCGAATAGAACCAAAGAGTATGGATCCTTGCAGTCACAAAAGCTTCAAATCTAGAACAGTGTAGACTTATCAAAGAAACCAATCGACTCGCGCGTACACCGAGACGCGCAAGCTCATCAACTCGCAGCGCTTGGAAAGCGCGCGCTTAACCCAGCCTGCGTCGCAGCGCGGTCAGCCGGCCAATGGAGTGGCTCTTGACTTCACCTTGATGTAGAAGCGGATCGCCTTAGAGCAGCTCGAGTCCACAGCGCTGCAGTCCTTGCCGGTGATGACCTGAAAGTTGCCCTCGGCTGTGGAGCAGCAGTCCTGGTCGGCACAAAGCGAGCGCAATTTGGTGATCCATCCATCCAACCGTCGTGCATCCCTCCGTTCGTCCATAGGTAAATCCGTCCATTTTGTGCGATCATTCTCCCCCACCCAGTTGTGGAGCTGCCTGCTGTATAGTGTACTATACACTATACTATACACTATACAGTAAACATTACTATACACCACTATACGCTATACTACACACTATACTATACACTACACTATACACCACTATACACTACACTAGACACTATACTATTCACTATACTATACACTACTATACACTACACTACACGCTACACTACACACTACACTATACATTACTATACACCACTATACACTACACTATACACTACATACTACACTATACAGTAAACATTACTATACACCACTATACACTGCACTACACACTACACTATACACCACACTATACACTACTATACACTACACTTCTAAACACTACTATACACTACACCATTATACGCTACACTATACACTGCTATACACTACACCACTATACTACATTTCTTTTGAACTGCTTGTTGTGTTTAGTTTGTTGTCCTTACCCCGCACCTCCGATTAGCACGGTTGGCTAAGTACGGTGCGAAAGAAGTTCAACATACATGTAGAAATGTTGATGTTTGTAAGTCCCGACTAAAACACATATCACCAAAACCAGTTTCCTCTCATGCACTTTGATCCTCTGGCTCTTCTTCTGCCCACCCCCCCCCCCCCCCCCCCCCGGTTCATGCTTATTCTTCTTTGTGCGTGGCGCCTTGAGATTTTATCGCGAAAGGCGCCTGATAGTCACAAATTATTGTTACGGATTAATTATGAATTAATGAATTCACTCGCCCGACGTTAGTCCGTGGCGTGCGTGAGCAGGGCGCGTCCATTCTGGTGCCCACCTGCACGATGCTGGAGTCGCAGTTCCCGTCGAAGACGAACCTCTTGCCGTCGAAGGTGACGTAGTGGCTGTCCCCGTACATGCGGCACGTGCCAGGGCACTCGGCCGAGTTGCAGCTCCACGCGCCGCTGCCGCACGTGTTGCACCCGCGCACGCGCGCGACGTCTCAAAGGGAGGGGGCGGCGGGCCCTTCAAACCCCCTAGCCCAATATTTTCTCTCGGAATAACAAAAAAATGTATATCCCAACGGGTATTTGGTCAAGTCTAAGGAGAATCAAAAGTAGGTGGCTTCTGCGCCGCCCGGATATGACGTCACAGGCGGGTCCCGGCTGCTTTCACAATGTCACGAATGCGCTCCTGGAAAACCCCGTCCTCGCAAATTGGATACGTTTTATTCTCCCATAAATGGCAGAAACAGTAGACGCGTCGCTTGCCCGTGTGTCTTTTTCCTCCTTATCAGCCACATTCAACGGGGTTTAACCGGTACAAAATTCACCAACGCACTTAATAATTATACAAAAGCTCGCTGCGCCAAAATGACACTGGAAACTGGACCATGTCCAAACGTGCTCGGAGTCTTGTCGGAAGACGCACCGTAATTCAAGTTTCTGCGTCCTAAACCTATGCAGGTGAAGAAATGATGTTGTCTTCCCCCCCCCCCCCACACACAAAGCGGTAGCCATCTTAACGCGCAGCCACCAGGCTCGGGACAGCCGCGCCGCGCTAAGCCTCCACTCGCTCACCACACGTTGCAGTCCACCTTGATTGTATCCCCCTTGCCATAGACAATGCCGTGGTGCCGGCACGAGCAATCCTCCGGATACAGTTGCCGTTGTCGTCTGGGATGAGTCCATCCCCGCATGGGCAGTCCAATTCGCATGGCGGCTAAAACGGAGGCCGAGAAGTTGGGCAAACAACATAGAGGAAGAGTAAGAAGCCGGGGATTCGCCTTTCGCTCCGAGCCATCCATCGCGCAATGCCTGTGCTACTAGTCTGGCCGAGAGGGAATCGAAGAAGGTCGCTTTTCCTCTCCATGTCAAAGTCCTTCATCTTTAACGCCGAGCAATTATCACTGTCGCACGAAGCACACTTTTCGGCTGACGTTTTCCCCTACTGCTGTCGTGGCTGTAGTGGAGTGCCCAGTGACTGCCTTACTGCTGCAGCAGAGAGAATTTGGAGTGAATCAGTTGTCACGGGGGGCGATCGATGCTCCAGCACTCGCCGATTCACTCCAGTCAGCTCCTGATTGCTCACCCACAGTCAGTCGCCTGCTGGTCGCTCTTCTATCGCTACTACTACCGTGGTTACTCGTTCCCGTGAACTTCACTCGCCCGTGTTGAGGACTCTATCTCTACTGGACACTAACCGTTTCGTCCCGTCCATATTGTGTTCAACCACCACCATCACACAGGTCAAAACGCTTGTGCCCTGAAGCATACGATTATCACTCTTGCTAAGCACAGACCAAATAGCTTAAAAGCCAGTAAAGGACATTTGCTAAAGTCTGAATTCATATCCCACGGTTTAATACTTTATGTCCCCATGCTCAATGCATGACATGGGCAAAGGACAAAGCTACCCGAGTGGCATGGAACAGGTAGTAAGCCACTTTGGTCTGCGCTCTTTCTAAAGAAGAGTAGCAAAGCGACGCTAACTTTCTCCTCTTAAGCCCTCTTGTCGTGGCCAGCAGCCCTCAGACATTGGCTATTTAGCTGCTGAACCATATCGCTGATGCTGATATTGCTGCTGCTGCGATCATACAAGAGAGCATAGAACAGAACCCTCTGAGTGGTGGGTGAAAGCCAACCCCGTGGGCTGTGTCTAAGGGGGGGTCGAGTGTACTCACGCAGGGCAAGTTGATGGTCTGGCAGGTCCTCTCGCAGGCCTTCGCGTGGCTCCTCCCTCTCAGGGCACTGCCATCAACCAGGAGTTGGAGGGCATTTTCGACCTCTGCCCAATGACATTTCACCATGGAGGACGTCAAATACAAAATATCCCATGCCGCCATTCGCAAAAAGAGTAGCAAGCCAATGCGCATGCTGGGCACGTCAAAAACACAAATTTGCCAATTTCGAACACCAAAAAATTGACCGCAAATTACTCGATTAGCATCACAACGACAACAGCCGCTATTTGCCACTAAGTGGCGGTGACATCACCATGGCGCTTGTGCCAGGCTATGTGCACGTTAAGGCCATCATGTGAGGTGTGTTGAACGCTACCCGCCAGCAGGAGGCCATGGGACAGACCCTCCTGGCACCGTGAGAAATGGTGCAATTGCCAAAGGTGTTCGTGATTCAATTCTGTTCGTTGATATGGACCGAAAGTTGTCCGAAGCTTCGGGAAAGAGACGATGACGGGAGGGAGGTAATTTTACTGTTGAGCGGTGCGAGGGAAGAAGCGGACAGAGAAGTGGACGTGACCTGCAGTGTGGTGAGTGGGTGGGTGGCTGAGTTGGGTGGTGTGGGGAGAGCGGCAGTGTGGCGGTTAGCGTGCTGCCCTCTGGACCCGGCGACCCGAGTTTGATTCCCGCTCACGACCAATAACGCTGGTGAATATCTGAATCGGTCCTGGGCCTCTCCTAGGTCGACTCAGCTGTGCTGTCCTTGCTGACAGTACTTACCCAACAACAGCACATTAAGGCTATGTGGGGGGTCTTTTTTGTCTTTGAATTAGTAAGCGAGCGAACGAGTTGGTTGAGTGAGTGGGTGAGAAAGTTAGCAAGTGAGCGAGTGAGTTGTGAGCCGTGGTGGTGGTGGTGGTTGATGCGGTCTGTGAGGGCAGGCAAACTTACGGAGGGGGCTTTCACGTCGCATTCTTCCGCCTGCGGTCACGCGGGGATACAGAGAGCGCCAGAAATTGGTGAGAACCTCGCGTGGTGGCAGTGTGGTCAATGGTATCGTTTGTGGTGTTGGTGGTGGGGGGGGGGATTGGCGCTGCAGGACTCACCGAGCATGGTGATGGGGTTTTCGCACCTGAGAACTCCGTACTCGCAAGCACTGCCAAGAAGACACATCAACATGGCGTGGTTAAAGCTCTCATGTGTACTAATTCACCCCTCCGCACCCCCCCCCCCTCCCCTCCCTGGGAAAGTGACATGGCCCGGCTAGAAAAAAAAAGCCAGAAATCGATTATTTAAATTGTTGGTAAGGACAATCCTTAGAGCAAGCCAAGGCACGTGCAAATGGCGCGGCGATGTCGCGTCATTTGCACGTGTTATTTATTGAATGTCACGCCGCCACAAAGGCATCATTTGCCCAGGCCCCTGGCCCTGCTTGGCAGATGTTTCAGCTATAGCTCGGCACTTGCTAACGGCCAGTGGAGGGAAAAAAATCCCACCTATACCGCGAAAGGTCACTCTGCTCTGGCTCGGCTCAGATGCGGCAGTGGAAAAGGCCCATGAAGGCAACCATTCATACCAGGCTAGATCGCCGACCCAGTAGAATTTCCCAGGCGGGACAATGTCGTGACCTGTGTAGCATGGGCACTCGATGCCCGGAACACACTCTCCCTCGTGGTTCATGAAAGTCCCCTCTGCACACACGCAGACTGTGGGTTACAGAGAGAGGGAGAAGGTCAGAGGAGGAGGGCCAGAGAGCGGTGCTAATGTAGAGGCTCAGTTTCAGTTTCTTTATTTGGGTATAGCCCTGTGAGCCATTCGGCTCTTGAATCGGGTGCAACCACAACAACCAAAAAATCAAAAACACGAACAAGAAAAACATCTTAAAGTGACTATGTGTGAATGTACAAACAGAAAATCCATGAAAAAAACAGCAAAAATATTCCTGAGAAAAGCACCGTACACCAATCCTGTGTGCAAAAAAATCCCAGTGGGATGCAAGTCAAACAACAACAACAACCACAAGACAACTTAGATTAAGGCCATCAGTCTAACTCCGTACTACAACAAAAACAAACATGTCCAAACACAAAAACGTTTTCGAAATCACGAAAAATAAAGCCATAATTGCAACGTAACAGTGATCATAGGGACTGTGACCGGATTTTTACAATAAACTACATAAATAACATGTAACACCAAATCCTAGAGCCATAGCTGGCTGCATGAGTTACTCCACAACAACAGAAGCATCAGTCGGAGTATCAAATTTTTCAATGCACCTTTAAGATCAGCACGCTAAATCAAAATACAGATAATACTTTGCTGCGTCATTGGGAGCGAAAACATTTTATTTCATTTTACGCCAATGAATAGCAGTGGCAGCTAGGGGTGTACAACTCCTCTAGAGCAGTTTTGAGAGAAGATCTCATTGGTAGCGATTCAAGTTGCAGTTTATTGGCAATAGCATTCCAGACCCTGGGGGCATCAATAGCAAAGGCCCTTCCTCCAGTTTTTGTACGGCAATAGGGAATTTGAAGCTGGTATATGAGCGAAGACCTGAGGTCAAATTTGCTCTTTGAAACAGAGAGGAGATTCAGCAGGTAGTCTGCGGATTTTTTTGTAAGTACATCGAGAATAATTCAGATCTGGTGCACAAGCCGTCGAATATTAAGAGATGTTACGTTTGACCCAATGTAGATATCACAGTGGTGAGACCTATATGGACAGTTCAATGTAAATCTTAAGGCCGAGTGACAAATTGAGTCAAGCTTCTTCAGTACAGTACTTGGGGCTGATTTATACACGATGTCACAGTAGTCAAGTAGAGGCAGTATGGTAGTGTTTATCAATTCCAAACGGAACATTGGGGGGAAGCAGTGCTTGTGTCGATACAGAAAATCTAATTTTAAACAATGGAGCGAGTTTGTGAAATCTGACCCACGGCAACCACCCCCCCCCTCCCTCTGGCCCACCCAACTACCCAGCAGTGTCAATGAGTTAAGTCTGTCGGGCAGGTTACAAAGCAGTGGGTAAACGAGCATAATCGTAATAATATGAATGTGATGATAATATAGGACCCTGCCTAATATAGGACCTTGGTTCTGGCTCCTTGTTGCTGGAGGTTGGAGGTGGGGGTGTCTTGTCCTTCGATCCAGTTGGTTCTTGAGGAGGAGGGCCACTCTCTGCAGGAGCTGGCTTTGTTGGCTTTTCCTCAACCGGGGGTTTCGGTGTCACTATGAAAGAAAAGCAAGGGATGGATGTTGACAGAATGAAGATTGCTCATGCATTCTCAATAACTCCTTGTAAAATGTTGTAAACAACCTTCAGACGATACTTTTAATCTGCATCTCAAATGAGTTACTGGGAAGTGTTCCAAAATAATGTACAGCTTTGTCAATCCACTGTTCAATTAAAGCCTCCCCACGTTGTCTGGGTTTGTGGGATTGTTTGACAGCGCTTCATCATTTTCTTTAGTGTGAATGTGGGAATCATGGATGGGGAAGCATGGAAGTACAGCACAATAAAGGATTCTGGCATTCTGCCCTCTGTATTCCACATTGTAAATATTCAGCCTTATGACATCGATTATGCAGGTAGTCACCCATCTAAAATCATCCATGCGTCACCATGTTTAGTTTCTAGCATCTAACGAATTCAGTCACATTCTGTGTGATTTGAACCTAAGCACTATACATCCTGTATATATACTCTGACAAAATGAACACACCTGGCCCTTCTGCGGGCGATGGTCCTGGCTCCTTGTTGCTAGAGGTTGGAGGTTGGGATGACTTCTCCTTCGATGGAGTTGATTCTGGAGGAGGAGGTCCACTTTCTTCTGATGCTGCCGTTGTTGGCTTTTCCTCAACTGGGGGTTTCGGTGTTACTTTGAAAGAAGAGAAAGGGATAGATCTTGAAAGAATGTACATTTTAAAGACGTGGGAGCATGGACGTACAGCACAAAAATGAGTTTAGCATTCAGACCTCTGCAGCCTAAAACTTTCAGTTTATAAATCATGTTAACTGCCGTGGTCACTCATTCATACCATCCAGTTACAATCATACTTCGTCTCTGAGATCTAAAAATGTAGTCGCATTTTGCGTGATTTGATTATGAGTATTATACATCCTGTGTATATATATATTCTTAGAGCATGGACACACCTGACCCTTCTGGGTTTGAGGGACCTGGCTCCTTGATGCCAGAGGTTGGAGGTGCGGGTATCTTGTCCATCGATGCAGTTGGTTCTGGGGGAACAGTGCAAACCTCACTGATTGGCTGTGCCAGGTGGTGGTGCATTGAAATACACATTTACCTGATCTAAAAAAAAACTCAATTATGAATGATGGCATTTAATATATTATCCATGTGATTTTGCAACTAATTCCAGAATGGTATCTGGGCTTGCTTTAGATGGAGTTGGTGCAGGGGGTCCACCTGCTCTGGAGCAGCAGAATCTGACCTTGTAGTTGTAACATGGCAAATAGTCCTGATCGTTATTAGAGCATTTCAAGCCTGTGCTCTGGTCACAAGTGATCGTCTGGCCTAATTCCTCCCATGGGGTATTCGGGAATCTTTCTGCTTTGCAGTCAAATTTTTCCACTGATGAGTCAGGCAGACAGACCTCTCTCCCCGAGTCTATAATCTTTTGGCAGGATTCCTCATCTCTGCCATTTTCTTCATCAGGATATTGATCATCGTACCAGTCAGACCAGCCTAAAGCACAATCTTCTGTAAACATAGAACATTAATCAGTGATGAAATTCAAACAGATTATGGAAAATATTCAAACCATATGTATGCATTAAAACAGGCCTCAAGACTATCTTACCACACTCCAATCCTTACCTTGTTTGGTGGGTGTTTTATTTGGTTTTGTAGCCTCAATTGGTTGCTGTGTTGCAGGAACAATCAATTCTGCAATAAATATACGTGAATTATGGTGTGTATCGCGTAAAATAATACACATAATCATCATCACTGAATATTACATCTCCCAAAATAATGTTTGTTAGGACAGGTAAGCAGTTATGAGTTTCTATTGATTGCATTGAAGTGGACCCATCCAAATGTTGGGTTTACAAATTGAAATGGATGCTGCATCATTTGACCAAATGGCTGCCTTTTTACAACATTCGATTTTGTTAAAAACGTTCTAAACATTGACTCATAGAGACGCATGGAATGGGGGAATAATAACTTCAGAAAATTAGTATCTGGAGCACTGTTAACATCAGCAATTGGGAAATTAGCCAGGTGTAGTGTGTGTATTAAATACGTGTATACCTGTAGCATGATGTTTATCTATGTAGCTTGCATACACGGGCAATGTATTTTACTTGAATTTGTTTACTTTTCAAACGTCTATTATTTTAACGTGGATTATAACCTATCATGTGAAGTCACAAAACGTGTTTAATCTAATTTAAAGTGTTTTTGATCTCACGTGTTTCGAATATATTCACAAGTCAAATATTAGAAAAACTGCCCAAGCATTATGCTTATTTCCCAAAGTATCGGTTTTCAATGTTGAGTAAAAGCTGTCTTTGATCTCAATAAAGGTACAATACTTCTGATTGGTGGAATGTTTACAAGGTGAAGGACGGTCATGTTACTGACGTGATTTATTTTAACTAGAAGATAATTGATGTTGTTCATGTTCCCATTGTCATAGTTACCTTCACCGATAGTGATGATCTCTTTAGGCACTGGTGGGGACTTTGGTTTCCTTTTCGTTGTTTCCGGAGCAGCTGCTGTTGGTGGTTTCTCAGGGGCCCCTTTGGTTGGGGCCTGAGTAATGGGTGGTGGAGGGGGGGCACCTGATTTGGAGCAGCAGAATATGACCTTGTAGTTGTAACATATAAACATGCCTTGATCGTCATGAGAGCATTTCAGGCCTGTGCTCTTGTCACATGTGATCGTCTGGCCCAATTCCTGCCATGGGGTATTAGGGAATCTCTCTGCTTTGCAGTCATTTTTTTCCACTGATGAGCCAGGCAGACAAACCACTTTCCCTGAGGCTATGACCTTCTCGTATGATTCATCATCTCCACCATTTTCTTCATCAGGATATTGATCATCGTACCACTCAGACCAGCCTGTAGCACAGTCTTCTTCTGCAAAGATACATTCTCAATCAGTCTTCAAACAGTTACAATGTATATATGAACTCCATTTCTCTAAGATAATGTTCTGACAGCTATAAAATGCATCATACCTATGAATGCGCCATTGGTAGGAGTGTACAGCGAAATATGTATTTACGTACAGCAAGGATACAGTGAGCCTCTTAATCATGAAAGGACTGTACATAGAGCTGCCGAATTTTCGTTGAGTATCAACCCGAAAGATTGATGAGCTGCAATACCCCTTCTGTTAGCACCACCTTATTTTACGAAGATACGGTCGATCAATAACTCTGACACAGAGTGACCTACTGCTTCGTAAGTTCCTCCTATTCTGCTACCAACCCAGCCTAGAGTCTGTGAGTCATACCCTCTTCCAGTAAATGAGCCAAGGTTGGGACCAGCACACTGTAAAGTAGTACAAAAGCCCAAATTAAAATGCTTCAGGACACTAGCATAGTCTTTTTGCAACCGGGAATGTCCCGGCACAACCAGAACAACTGGTTGCTTTGACTGAACATGTGTTAAACTGATATGATTGTATGTTATATATTATCCACATGTGATCTTGCAACTAATTCCACCATGGTACCTGGGCCTGGAGTTGAGGTTGATGGTTCTGGCTCCTTGCTGCTGGAGGTTGGAGGTGGGGGTGTCTTGTCCTTCGATCCAGTTGGCTCTGGAGGAGGAGCGCCACTCTCTTCAGGAGCTGGCTTTG